AAAAAAAAAAAAAAAAAAAGAAATCATTGCTTATTAAGACATGGACCCTAAGGGATTCAATAAATGAATAAAGGAAGAAGTAATTCCTGGCCCCGCCCGTGGCTCAGTGGACAGGGCAAGGCCACATACACCAGGGCTGGCAGCTTTGAACCCAGCTTGGGCCTACTAAACAACAATGATAACTGCAACAAAAAAATAGACAGGTGTTGTGGCAGGCTCCTGAATTTCCAGCTACTTGGGAGGCTGAGGCAAGAGAATCGCTTAAGCCCAAGAGTTTGAGGTTGCTGTGAGCTATGATGCCATGGTACTCTACCAAGGGCCACATAGTGACACTCTGTCTCAAAAAAAAGTAATTCCTTTCCATCTCATTTACAGGTTTCAGATCTCAGTTTTTCAGATGGTCTTTAGAGTTTGACTCTATAAATATGTTGCTTTGCTTCTTAACTACTTTGATCAGGCTTTCTGAGACTATGATTACAAATTATAGTCGCTTTTGCTTTCAGTGTCCATTTTTCATTGATTCAAGCTCCCATTTATATTGATAAAATAACAAGGCCTCTCTTTTGCCTCGTTGCACTCCTAAAAGCAAGATGGGTCACCAGGAGCTGTACTGGAGCCATCCATGAAAATCCAGCCAGGGTTCTCACTTTTTTGGCATCTGCTAAAACTGGCATGGTCTGATCCAGAAATAGGCCTCAATATGTGCCTCCAATGTTTCCATCAGTATACGAAGGACACTGGTTTAATTAAATTGGACTAAGTGATCTTCCTTGAATGAATTAGCCGCATCACCTGCCCACACTAGCTCTTTGTATCTAAAATAAAATTTAAAAAAAGAAGGCCTCAGCCTCCCTTCCAAAAAGTCCTCAGTCATTTCTTACAAGGATCCCAAAAGGGGCACCTCACATATGCCCAGAGACATGAGACCACCAACAACCACCTCGCTGCCCACAAAGCTCCCTGAGCTGGTGTCTATCATACACTTGCCAGAGCCCGTGTCATTATGCCCAGATCCTAGATACTCTCAAACTTCTAATCTTGAGGGTGCCAGAGCAGAGCTGAGTTCCATTCAGAGATGGGTAAAAAAATTCTTTTTTTTTTTTTGAGACAGAATCACACTCTGTCACCCAGGGTTGAGTGCCATGGAGTCATCGTAGCTCACAGAAACCTCAAACCCTTGGGCTCAAGTGATCCTCTTGCTTTAGCCTCCCAAGTAGCTGGGAGTACAGTCACCCATCACAAAGGCCCAGCTACTTTTTCTATTTTTCAACAACAAATTCTCGCTGTTGCTCAGGCTGGTCTCAAACTCATGAGTTCAAGCGATCTACCCACCTTGGGCTCTGTCTTCCTCTAACGAAAGATTCTCTTCTCTATGTTACATAACAAAAACATCCATCTGTGGATGCGAACAGAAACTGGACAGGATTGGGAGGAAGCGGTGTTAATGGTGCCTAAACTGCATTCAACTCAGGAAATCAAAAATGCCCTGCCATGGTGCTCTGCTTCCAAGTCTCAATGAAGAGCAAAAGTGCTGAACATTTCAAAATCTTTCTAATAACCAAAGCAATAGAACTGACAGGTGTCAGACAGAATTTCAGGTCAGGAATGGAATTGTAACACAAATGAAGGCCAGAGTAGGTGCTCAGTGATTGCTGAGCTGGAGAATGAATGAGGGGTATTCTTTCAAAGAAACCTATTTGGTTTCCTACAAGAAACTGTATTGCAGCCCTGGGGATGTTCCTATTGAGGATTCCTGTGGTTGAGAGCAGGAACAAATTAAAAACTGGGACATACAACCTAAAAACTAAATTTGAGAAAAGGATCCATAGTCTATTCAGTTCTCTAGGTCACAGGGCATATGCTGTTCATGTCTCCTCCAAAATGCAAGGCTACTTGGGTTCTCTTTGTTGGCCCGACACAGCACCTCACTCCACCATCCTCAGAGAAGAACAGCCTCCACAGCACCAGGATACAGCAGAGGTGAAATAGACTCAGAGTAGTGGATCGAGCTGACCCTGGAGACCACACTGCCTTTGGCCTTCCAGTTGCATAAATCCATGAGCTTCCTAATCACGTAAGTCAGTTTTAGTGAGGTTTAATATTACTTACAACAGAAGCCATCCTCGTTTACAAAAATGGTTGCTGCAAGAATGAAATGAGAGAGTATATATACAGCTGCACAGTGTCTGGGGTGTGTGAGAACCTGCAGGTTGTCCCAGGGCAACTCTTCGTTTTGTCCCTAGAGAAGCTAAGGGGCACCTCTTAAACAACAATTAATGTCCACAAACTCAGAAAGTATCAAGATAACATTCCAGGCTCGGCACCTATAGCTCAACCGGCTAAGGCGCCAGCCACGTACACCTAAGGTGGCGGGTTCGAATCCCCAGCCCGGACCCGCCAAACAA